TCATTGGGTCTAGAGCAGGGGTCTGCAACCTGTGGCTCCATGCAAAGGGCTCTCTGGAAAAGGACATTAGAGTGAAACTCCTTTTGTGTATTGTATTGTTTTGTTATAAGGCAGTAAAATAAGATGTCATGCAAACCGATGATGTCGTTCTGATGAGGATTTGAAGCAGTTTGATAAAAACGTGAACGTTAAAGTACAGTAGTCCCTCAATGCTTCATGGTTTGACATTCGCAAACTTGTTCTTTTGTGGGTTTTCAACTAAGATTGCACACGACTGTCAACTTTAATATTACTCACATGATTGGGACGGTACGGGATAAAAAGTTAACGGGAGCAGAACCAACCAATAGGATAGAAAACAAAACAAAAAAATAAATAAACGACTTCAGGCAGGCGCCGCCATTTTGTAGTTTTCTTTCAATAAGCCTACACTGTAACACAAGTCAAAAGAACTACGTGGCCCAGAAGCCAACAGTGACGAAATTCAAAGAACAGCAATGGAGGGAGCAAACACTAGTGAAGAAACAAGATGTGGTAAAAACAGCTTTGCAACGCAAAGTCAGAAAAAACAATTTGTTTATTAAGCTCACAGAACTGGCAGGAAAGTCGCAAATAATCCTGAAGTTGTATCTTCACTGGAGAGTACCCATATACAATTTTGCAGTACTGTACAGTACACATAGGTGTGTTGTTAAAATTACGTAGGTTTAAGAGTTTAGAATATTGCAAGAGTGTGAGAAGGGTTTATGAAGGCTTAAAATATTTATAAATACTAAAATAAATATTGCGTTCCTATTTTGCATTTTTCACCTGTCGCGGTGGTGTCTGGAACATAACCCCTGCGATAATCGTGGGACTACCGTAAAAGAAAATGCCTCGAGTCAATTTAAAAATCCAGCAAATTGTCATGATTTTTACGTTCGCGTAAATAATTTATTTGGATGCAAATATATGATTTAATATTTAAAGGAGAGGTACTTAACTATTTTCCACAAATATATTAAAGACATAATCCTCCACAATTGAGTGTTTAAATTTTGTCAATAGGGGTTCTAAACAAAATGCAATTATTTCCATTCCTCAAAGGAGTTTTTTAAATTATCTTAACATGTTATAATACTAATGCATGTAAATGATTTATTATAGTGTAGTTCTTTAATTTTATAACATAAACAAGTATTTGTAATTTTTTTTAAATACAGTACTCCCCTTACTTCGCGGTTTGACTTTCGCGGACTCGCTCTATCGCGGTTTTTCAAAGTAAGATTGGACATGACACATAATTGGCTGATTGACGGATGAGCTGCACGATAGGCATGGAATTTTTAATTTAAAATAAATTATTTTAAATTATTTAGCACCTGTGTGCAGCCCATGTGTGCAGGGAGAAGCTCCCTCCTGCAGTGTGTCGAAGTGGGCGTGGCCACTGTGGCAGTGCTGGCAGGTGGCAGAGAGAGCGGAGATCATGACACGTTGTGCTCTTTTAGAGGGTGTAGAGTTTAGATACATTGTTTAGAATATTGCAAGAGTGTGGGAAGGGTTTAAAATGCCTTAATATATATCTATATCTATATATACTAAAATAAACTACCGTATTTTTCGGCCTATAAGGCGCACTTAAAGTCCTTTAATTTCTCACATATCGACAGTGAGCCTTATAATCAGGTGCACCTTATGTATTAATTCTGGTTGTGCTTACTGACCTTGAACCAATTTTATGTGGTTATTGTGAATGAGTTGAACAAAGTTTGACTTATCTGTTTTGTTTCACTTAATGCGCCTTATAGTCCAAAAAATACGGTACTACTTACTACTTGTACTACTATTCCTACTTCGCGGTTTTTCACATATCACGGGGGCCAGGGTATGGAAACCCCCGTGATGAACGTGATAAACGAGGGACTAATGTAAATAAAACTCTTAAACGAGTTACACTTTCTTTATATTAATTTTTAAATGGGTGTTGAAGCTCTGGACAAGTTTTATTTGAGCAACAAAGAGCAAAAACTGTAAAAGTTGCAGACCACTGATCTAGAGTAAATTTTCATCTCAACCAAAATAAATAAATAAAATAAAACTGAAAGTTTTCAAATGTGTTTTTGAAAAAAAAAAAGCCATCAACTTGCAACACATGTTGGACTACTGATACACGTGGCCTCAAGAGAAATCATACATTAAATGTGAATATTAATAAATTCTTATCAGTTTTTGTTGATTTCTAAGCCCCTTGGTCTTTCAGCCATCGGTTGAGTCGACTTCATTGGAACAAAGTAACCGTTTCAAACACGTCTTCACATTTTTGACCCTACAAAACTTATTTAGAGGCTGAAATGTTTGTTAGAACAACGATAAGTGGGAAAACAGCTGCAAATGTACAAGCTAAGACCATATAACACTTAGTAGCACTCTGCGGGGGGGAACTACATCATAGTAAACTTGTTATTCAAAAGGCTAATCTAGACACGTGTTAGCATCATATCAAACGTTTGAAAAGACGGCGACATGCAGAGGTAGGAGGGGCAGAGTAAAACCAGTAAGGCTGTTCAGTCGTCAGAGGGCTCTTTTAGATGAAAAAGGAATCCCACTTTTCTGCACTAATCTTAATCAGTCACGAACTTTTAAGACATGCAACGAAATACAAAAAGCTCTAGAACTGAACAGGCTGGTTACAACAGGTGCGCTGAGAATATTTTTGAATCTGAAAGGGTCTCGCCGTTTGTAACAATCACAAAACGTGTTCAGTAAACCTCAACAATGACGTTGTACATTTTTTATTTTCTTGACTGAGAAACGTTAAAGCATGAAATTGAAAATAAACCGTTTTCTTCTTCAAGATTGCTGGATTGAGTATCTTCTGAACCGTAGACATTTACAATATCAAACTCGCTTCACCTGCAGTAAAATGTACTCGGTTAGGCACAATAAACAGGCCCCTGTGGTATTTAAGGTTCAGAGTGAGAACGGCTCTGATGTCTGAGTGCAGCTTATGCACCAGCGCAGATCTACATTAACCTCAAATAACTTAGATTTCAAATATATACTAAATCTAGTAAATGTTTACTACATTGTTTTATTGTACATTTGTAATGTATGAACAAAAAAAAATCATTTTACAGCCCGACTGACCTGTTCAACGTGTTTAAAAGAATTGGATCCAGTTTTCTCTGTGAGCTCATTTCTGCTGGTTTGAATTTTTTTTTTTCTCTTTTGTGTAAACCCTATTTACAAACGTAAAAAAATGAACAACAACAAAAAAAGTATTTTACAAACTGTATGATTACATTATGTACACTCAGGCTACAAGCATGTTTTACTGTAACCTCACTTAAGAATTATTTGAGAGGTTTTTAATATTTTCAGTCCAAAATTTAATGAGACGAATTACCTCCATGGTCTGTGTGGGTTTGTGCATCTCTACAGATTATCCTGATTCATGCTCAATAATCCAGGTAGAATAATCTAACAAAGTTAAATCTGGTCCTCTGGACAGATAAAAAAAAAAAAAACTTGTTGAAACGTTTCGTCTTTAATCCAAAAGACTTGGTCAGGAGGACCATCTGCCTAACGACTGATCGTTAGTGCTCTGTTCCTACAGAGGAACGCTGGTTTGAGCGAGGAGTGAAGGAAGCCATCTTTGTGAAGAGAAACCGTCCATCAATAAGCGGCGCGGAGGCGTCCGTGTCCGATTGTCACCTTCTTAAGACCGCCACATACTCGGGCGTACTTCACTCCGAAGAGGTCCGCGCGGACTCGAGGTGGACTCAACGCAGACTCGAAGCAGACGTCCGCAAGCCACGTCTGCGCAAAGATCAATTTTTACGACTACGTACGCGTACTCTGTCGCACAATAAACTGCCCGACGACGGACTGTTTTGTATGCGACACTTCATCCCTGATCTGGTTTAATGGCCTTTTCTTTTGTTTTTTTGCCAAGAGGCAAGTGATCTCTTCCTCCTCGTCTGTTGACGCCATGACTGGAATTGTGAGAATTGAAGGAATTTGTCACGAGAGAATTAAAATCAGGCCCGGCGTGGCTGCGGGAGGGTCTGGAGATTTCCCGGTGGGCTACAGGGCCAGCGCTCCCTGTTTTGTTTTTTAGAACTTTTTATTAACAACATATAAACACAGAACACTGATCCTGGGCTGCCAGCTCTTTTTTTTTTGTGACCTGTCAATCAATCCAGTAGGTGTGTCAGCAAATAACCAATCGGCGACCTCAATTTGTCCCGAAAGTAAACGTCCCTTGCCTGCGGAGCTGGGCTGCAGCCCGTCAGGGTGTACACTCGAGTACGAAACTTCAATTGTCTGCGGATGGTGTCCACGCAGCTCACAGAGTACACACAGTACACCCGAGTATGTGGAAGCCTTTACAATGCTGTTATTGCTAGCATCACTCAGCCCTCTGTGAATAGCAAGCGGCCATCAGAGCACTAACGATCAGTCATTAGGTTGATGGTCCTCCTTGATCATGTGAACAGCTAGTTCTGGATGTCAACAATAAACTGGTTGATCCACTACGAGAAGGTGCTTTTATAAAACTGAGGTTACTGCAGCTCCTCAGATTAAAGACGAAACGTTTCAACAAGTTAATTGTTTTTAATCCGTCCAGAGGACCTGACTTAACTTTGTTAGATCTCTACAGATTGTGCTGATGCTGATGATAAGACATATCTGGCAGTGTCACTAGCAGATATTATGGACTTCATCTACAGTACGCTGTCTGTAAACCAGGAATATGTGTCAGCTTGGCTCTTTGTTAAGGCAAAATGTTTGGCACTTGACAACTAACCCTGATTTCATCTTGAGGGACTCTAAACCAAATGTGTCTGCAGCGGGTCACGACCAACCTGCTGAAGTGATTTTGTCTGAAAAGTATTTTTGGAACCGGAATGTCGCAGACGGGATGCGGACTCTTAATCTCAAATCAATTCAAATGGATTTAGTTTTGTTTGTTTTACCCAACAGCAAACATCAAGTTAGCTGAATAAAACGCTTGTTTGTTTTAAACCTTCTACCCAGAAACCCAGCTGTGCGTGGTGGTCTTCACCCCATGCGAGAAGCTTTGTTGGGTCACGACTGGCTCGAAGTTGAAGTCCAGCGAGTCCCCGTCCATGAGAGTGTCGTGGAGGACCGTCTCCATGTCGAACTCAAACTTCTCGATGGACATGTCGTCCAGGTCACTGGGAAGTTTCTCTGCGTGCGGGGGGGCTGACATGCCTGCTCGGCCGTATCCGTTTGTGTTAAGAGGGCAGAAGCTGCCAGGCATGCCTCCCCCGCTGAGGTGGCCGGGAAGGCCGTAAGGCATGTGCATGGGGCCTTTGGCTGTAGGCAAACGTGCGTTGCCCCCGCTGTAGCTCAGAGACATGAGCAGCCGCCCATTCATAGCTGGTGAGATGGCCGAGGCTTGGCTGTGCACGTTGTGGAGGTGGGGGTGAGAAAGACCGTGTGGGTGACTGTTCCCTCCCGTCGCCATGAGTTTGGCTGCATGCTGGCTGCTGCTGTATGACGGCAGCATGCAGCCCCCGCTGGGCTGAGACACCACTGTGTCCACCGACGGCATGAGTTCTCCGTGCTGGTCGTTGTCAGACGTCAGCAGCTCCTTCAGAAGCCCTGCAGGGCAGTTGTACTGACCCATACTGGGCCCAAAGCTGGGCTTACTCTCTGGCAGAGTCTGCAGTGGCATGGACGGCAGGGCGTTCATTCCAGCCTGGCCGTAAACGCACTTGTGGTAGTCCTGCTGTGACTGCGAGCCCATGCTGGGGGAGCTGTAGGCTGGGTACCCAGGGCTTGGCTGCATCATTGGTGAGGGGGAGGACTGGGAGGAGCCAGGGGTCGTCGCACCTCCTCCGACCTGAGAGCTGTTGGGTGAGAGCAAGTTCAGGTTGTCCAGAAGGTTCTCCATGACGTTCTCGGAGCTGCGTCCCAGAGTTCCCGTCATTTCTGTGAGGCTGGGCAGCGTGGCCGTCATTTTGGACCCTGGAGCTCCTGAGTACCCCATGTGCACTTCAGCTTCCCCCAGGTCGTCCTCAGGCACGAAGGGTGAAAGGCGGCCGCTTAAAGTGCTGGCGTTGGAGCTGGTCCGAGGCCTGAAGCTGCTCCAGGCGTCGTAATCATCGTTGCTGTGGGAGTTGGGGCTGCCAGGCCACTTGGAGTAGGAGCCTGGGCTGTCTGCACCTCCGTCAGGGCCACCCTGCAGAGACAACTGTGGGGAGGACAGAGAGACACTCATTCTACTGGCAATAAAACATTTTCCAAAGACGGCGCACTTTATTACGAGACATAACAACATCAAGTTCATCATAATAGTTGTTCATGCTTGCAATTTTTAAGTTCAGCTCCATTTTTGTCCATGTTTGTCAGGCTTTTAAGCAAATATCTTCAAAAATTTAAGAGTAAAAGCTTCAAGCCATCACCTTATTTTCCGGCCTTTAAGTTGCGCTTTTTTGCCTAATTTGCATGTCCTGCGATTTATACGCTGAAGCGACTTATTTAGGGATTTTTCCCATATTTATAAACAATTTTGGCTGAGATATGACCGTTTTCATTAATTCTGACATTTATTGAACACTACCACTTTCAGCTGCTAGATGGCACTCGAGCAGTATGGCATGTTGTTGTGTAATGTAATAGATAAAAGTGGCTATTAATGACACAGTCAGCTTGCCAAAGACTGCCACCTTCATCCAGCTCGCCTGGAGCGACCGTCAAATCAGCTTCATTTTGCTGCGCCGTACCGGCGAAATGCAGCTGATTTGACCATTAAAGTGCATTTATTAAGCAAAAGTTCAACTGAGACGCACATTTACTATAAAGTCGAGCAAACAAACAATTGTTTTTAGGTGGTTATCTTGTTAAATTGCGAAGAAATACACAGCGACTCGTCCCTCTGCGCGCTCCTGCTTGTGCATAACGGCTTTTGATATCCAGCTGATTTGACCGTCAAAGTGCATTTATTAAGGAGAAGTTAGACGGAGACACACCTTTACTATAATTTTGAGCGAACAAATAATTGTTTTTAAGTGTTAATCTTGTTAAATTCTTATTAAAATCCTCCTGTGCACGCTCCCGCAGCCGCCATTTGGCAGCCAATCGATTTTTGGCACAACACCGGTCCACATTTCCGGGCTGTCAGTGGTGACGTATAATAAGTGTGACTTATACGGCGAAGCGACGTATTTATGGATTTTTCCACATTATTAGACATTTTTGGACTGATGCGACTTATAGGCCAGAAAATACGGTATATGGCTTAATAGTACACACACATGCACATTCTTGCATTTCTGTCTTGTGGGGACTTTGCATTGACTTCCATTCATTTTTATAGCCTGACCCTGACCTTACCCTAAACCCAAACATTATTAGTACATGCCTAACCCCCCCCCCCCCCCCCCTCTTTCCCCCCAACCCAACCCCCCCCCCCCCCCCCCCAAACGAGACTTATCCTTATGGGGACCAGGCTTTGGTCCCCATAAGGAGCAGCTGTTCCCCACAATGTAGGATTTGTGTGCAAAATTGGTCCCCGCAGTGTAACCTGAAACAAAATGCACATAGGTTCACACACAGTGTGTCAACACACCCTTTAAGAACATGGTCGTATAGAACTAAAAAACAACCATAACTATTTAGATGTATATATTTCAGTGAGTCATTTCTGAGCCTAAATGGATGAATCTTCAGCCGATTTACCTTTTTCTTTGCTGCTCTTCCTCTGCTCTTTGTCAGTTTGCTGTTGTTGTCCATTGAGGCAGCCCTGCGTCGCGGGGACTTTCCACTCTTCCCGCCCTCTGGGTTCAGCATCCACCACGAGCTCTTTCCCGTCCCCTCATTCTGGACGCGGATGAAGCGGCTGTGCAGCGACAGGTTGTGTCTAATGGAGTTCTAAAGGGGAGGGAGAAAGATGGAAAATAAATAAATAATAGGTGCGGGGAGCACAGACAAACAGGGAGATTTGCCCTTTTCCCAAAACACCTCAGATGTGATTTATCGTACGAGTGCAAATCCATCCGTACAGGTGGCAGCCTTTGAAAACACGCTCGCCTCAACAATTGACTTCTGAGGAGAACGGGGAGGTTTTTAAGGTCACTCAACAATCTCATGCTGTTTGCTTTCCAAAAAAACACGTGCACAAGCGCACACTCTATAGATGTCAGGGAGTTTACCCCATGAGCAACACATCCTGGACAAATACACTGTACATGTGGGCTTTCCCTGACAAAAACACACAGGCCTTTTGTAAAACGCCACTAAACCAACAGTCACATTCCACCTGACAATGTGTCTCGTCCGAACTAGCACAAAATCAAAGGGAGGAAACAGACTAATCTTTCTTCCTTGCAGACACATTAATGCTAAGCTCTGACGTTGCTTAGTGACACCACCGGTGGAAAAACTAATTTTTGAGCAGGAAGCTAGTGAAGCATTATAAAAACAGGGCAAACAGAAGAGCCAGAATATCGGGCAAATGTCTGCTGAGCAAACTGCAGAAAGTGAGACATCAATTCTCTCCTGCTGCACTCTCATACTCGGGTTAGAAAAACATTTAAGACCTCGCTTGTTTGCCAGCTATAGTTTTCAAAACTACACACCAGCGTCGGAGATGGGTTTCTACTCTGCCTCTGCTTCATTCTGAGGCCAAATGAAACCATGCGCCTTACCCAGACGTTACTGAGCCTGCGTAAAGCTTGTTGTTTTGGAGGAAAGGCTGAAACTCCCGACACACACACAATAACACGCAGAGCTTAGCGTGCATGGAGGCCAGCATCATCGAGCCTTTTGCCCGCTGTGAGTCACTGCTTCACATCTGGTTCGCAGTCGGCAGCCTCGGAGCTGCCTTCACCTCTGCTTCTCCTCACCGCAACCGTCCTCTCCCCTTTTGAACTCTGAGATTTGTCCCTCCTTCAACTCACAGCCCAATTATGGATGAATTTTAAAAGCAATTAATAAATATCTTGATGAGAAACCTAAAAATACTTGTTAAGATTGTTCTAAACCTGAAAACTGTTGTTTTAAACTCGTGCCAAACCATCCAGAAGCCAACAGAGTTATTAGTTTTCTTATGATATAAAAGAGAGAACGGGAAAGATTAAAGGGTTTTCTTTCCATCCAGAGCTGAGCCACCCTGCAGTTGAGATATTTGCAAGAAACTGAAAATGTCAAAAGTCAAGAGGACAGGATTATTGAAACTCTGTGTCGTGACTTTTCCATGATGCAACTGAGAAACACCTTCATATCACCTCCATCTGTTAGATCTTCACATCTTTCAGTCTTTACGATCAAAAATTACTTCAAGCAAACTGAAGTAGGACTGAAGAAGTCCTTTGGATGAAGGACGAAAAGTTTTTTTTGTTTTGTTTTTAAAGAAAGTGTCCAGAGGACCTGACTGAACTTTATTGGATTTTCTACCTGGATTATTGAGCATGAACTTTGATGTTTTGAACCACTTTGGACATGGCTGCCTCAGAGGAGTCGACGGGGGAAGAGGGCGGACTCCAGAAACCATCTTATCACCAGCAAACTGGTTGGCCCACTATGTGAGTGTTAGGGGAATTTATGTAAAGGTCATGGATGTTTTCACTTACTAATGTTAAATTAATATAGATCATGTGTGTGAAGTCAAGTCTTTTTGCCGACTCAGAGAGGAGCCTGATAACTGATAACTTCTGACACCTTCAAATCTGTAAGCTGGACAGCAGAGGCTGCCTTGACCTCTCTCTTTGATAAAGCATTAAACAGATGTTTCTTTATACCGTCTGTGGGCAGACCTTACGACGGGAGCTTCATGTAACATCTGTGTAAGCCTGGTGTTCACTCTGACCCCCTTGCAAGGAGTAAACTGGGTTAAAAAATCTTCTCGTATCCTCAGTGGCTTATTTGATCAATTAGATGATGAAAGGGTAATTAATTGATAAATAGGGATGCACAATATTATCGGCATGGTATCGGCCGACATTAGCGGTAAAGTTCAATATCGGACATCGGTCATTCCATCAAAATGACTCACCGATATAAAAGACGCTGTTTTTGTATGACACCCCAGTGACGAGGAGGCCTGCAGCGGCAGCACAACGTGATGACGTCACACGCAACTACCTGATCTCAGGGCGGAGAGGAAGATTCAAAATGTCGGCGATGTGGGAGTTTTCTTTTTCCGTTGAGGATGTCGGATTCTGAAGATTTATGGACTACGTTGAGCCTCGCTACATCGTCCCCAGTCGGAGATATTTTTCCAACGTAGCCTTACCCGAGTTACAAGCCGTCATTGAGAAGCTAATAGCCGATAGCACGCTGGGTGAGTTTTACCACAGACATTTGTACGTCGTGTTAGCCCCGTTAGCATGATTAATTTTACGGCACAATGGATAGACAAAAACTTTGAACTTAAAAAGTCTGTCCTTCATGCACAGGAACCTGGAACAAGCCTCCACATGTGAGACAGCATCACAGGTGACTAATGCTAATAAATAATATTTAACACTTTTCATTTAATATAAGTTAAAGTGCTATATCATATGGCTGTTAATGAATATGTCACCAGCTTTTACAGCTGTTACACATTTTTTGTAGCAAATAAGCCTAAATAAGAGGAATATGTTCTGACAAAGGAAAGTATATAAAATATCGGTATCGGCCAAAAATCCAATATTGTGCATCTCTATTGATAAATATCCAACAGGGAGTGTGCTGCTTGTGCGACTACGTTTGTTGTGGCTCCTCGGACTGATGAAGTCAATTCAATTCAAGTCAATTCAGTTTATTTATAAAGCGCCAGGTCACAACAGATGTCGTCTCAGGGCACTGAACGGAAACATCCATATATCATACAGAAAAAGTAAGTTAACATTAACTCCTGTGGATGAAGCATGAAATGTTTCAACAACAAACAAACAAACAAAACAAAAAAAAGAAACCGTCCAGATGACCTGACTGAACTTTGTTGGACAGTTCATGCAAAATGTCACCATTTAACAAAAAACGACCTCATTCCTTTGTCTGTATACCCTCTCCTGCTTTCCCTTCTCTCCATCTCATTCTTTTCCTCTCAGCCTATGAGGCGCATGAGTCTGTTCGAACACTGGTTCCTTTACAAATGAATGAATCAAATGATTCAACTGCCTCAGTCTTGGGCTAGTTTGCATGATTTAAAGTGTGTGACAGGCCTTCCTTAATTAGCCAAGCAAATGCCCCCCACCCCACACACACACACCCACACCTCACCCTCTATTGCCCACTGCTGCACATCAGTAACTGTGACAAAAGGCCAAGAGTAATGTCTTGTCATGAGCTGCTCTTTCCCATGACTGCTAAAGAGCGCGGCGGGTTTCAGCTGCGCTGCAGTAAGGGATGAGCTCGCAGACGCCGGGTTGTCCTGACATGGCCCCTCCGTCATCCCGATGGCAGGAAGGAAAATCTCGCAGCTCGACTCTCAGAGGATTTTGGCTCGTGTGACAGTTAAAACGCAGGGTGCGATGATCTAGAACATTTTAAAAGGCAGCTCAGAAGTACTGATGTGAGAGAGAGGGAGCAGATGTGAGACACTCTGATGGGAAATACCAAAACTTGCTGAATTCTGTGTGCCCTGTGGAGAGAGTGGGGTGTCTGGTGTGGCCAGTGGAAAAGCCTCGTCTCCCGCTGTGTGTGTGAGGGAGCGCCAGCTCGTGCTTTCAGCGGAATGGCAGTACGACAAACAGCAGCTCGCTCAACTGCAGCCAGCAACGGTGCTTTTAAAACACGCACAAGTCACTTTATTAAATTTAAATCCCTTTTGTGCTGATAATTGTAGGACGCGTCTATCAACACACGTAAATACGACGTCGATTTCTGTGTGCAGTAAATTCCGTTGGAACCGGAGACACTGAGCGACACAGATTTATCTCTGGCTTCAATACACAGGAATCCAAACATTCCAGCTAATCACTGTGTGTAAAGTTCAATTGTAATCTCAGCCAACTTGCTAGTATCTTTTAGGAAACAGTAAATGCAGGATTCCCAGCCAGGCAGCCATCACAATCAACATTCCTCTGCAAGGTTACAACACCCGCAATTTCACAGAAGTGAACTTTGATTGTAGTCACTGGAGGACGTCCATATCTTGTGTAATAAATAAGTGATGGGAGTTCTTTTGTCTTCCAACAGAACATAATAATAATAATAATGAAAAAGCTAGAAATAAATGCAGTGCGAGTGCTGAAAGCTGAATGGATTTGCTGAAGAAGCTGAATCTGATTTGTTAAAGCTAAAAGAGGCAAAACTTAAGCTAAAAGTGAAAGTTGCAAAAGGCTAGCTAGAAACTAAAAGTAGCAAAAGTCAAGTAAAAGCAACAAAGACTAGTTCAAAGCTAAAAATAGCTATGAGCAGCAAAAAGCTTCCTAAAAGTAGCAAAACGATGACAAAAAGTCCATGTAGCAAAAGAAGTGAATTTCAAAGAAAACAATGTTTTTGAAGGAGTTAAGCTCTTGATGCGTTTCAATGGGAAACATTTGTATCTAAGGTTAAAAATGTCAGAAAGTATAAAATCTACAAACATCAAAGGCTTAGTCTTCCCCTAAATGAGCTGGATATTTTGATTCATGAATGGGTAAACTAGCATAAAGTATGCAGAAGTGGTTAGACTGTAAAAACAAGCAGAAGAATATGAAACAGGAAAACAATATGCTGAATCAGCAGTCACAGCTTTATGGAATGGGTGAATGAATTAAAGTTAAAAAGGCCAAAGCTTCAACTAACCGTTTTATTGAATAGAATAATTGTTAGCATAAAATACTGCAGCCTTTATTAAAATAACACTTCCTCTAAACGGCACAGATATGTGGCCACAATAAGCCGGCAGAGCTGGCATTACTGTTTTACTGATGTCAAGTTATGCAGCCGCAGCTATGTCA